AAACTAAGATCAGATTATTAGATTCTAGTAAATCTTTTATGCATTGATGCAGATCTCTTGCATTATGCCTCTTCATGTTACCAGTCTAATATACAAAGAATATTGATACAAGACCTGTGCAATTAAGAAATTTGGCCATCCTTGTGGTTGGCCCGAAACAATAAAATATAGCAGTTGCATAAATCAATATTCGAGTGTTATTTAAGTCAAGAGATACATGGGCATGAATTTCAAAATCTCTATAGCAATTGCTGGTTGCAGTTGTCCTGTACCACAAATACTTGATGTTGCAATTGCAATAGACAACAACTAATACTTAAAGTTACAGTTATTGGGTGAAATTCTCTAAATAAACCACTCTGACTAATCATAGAAATCTCAAGTAAATTCAGACAACAATGGATGATAAAAAGTAGAAAAAACTCTGCTGTTCACCCTATAAATTCCATCAACCCAAAAAGAAAGAAATATCAATCTTGTGTCTGCTGTTACCTATGTCGATACATTAGAAACATTTTGGTTTTATTGTTGCACAAATAGATAATGAATTACAGAATATTGCCAAGAATATTTGTGCCTTGACAGTAGCAGTGAAGACGTTCCAGTTGTCTTGTACCCCCTTCAAATAAAAAAAAAATCTTTACAGTATTAACATGAAAGTATCTAAATGCTCAAAGTGGTCTTTTTATCTATTTACTTTTTGTCTCTATGTAGTTTCTATTTTTGAAGGATAAGTAGTGGTACAAAAAATCAAACCATTTGGTAAATGTATTTTGATGTATATTCTTAGGTAATGTTCCACTCATCAACTAGGGTTTCAAAACTATGTTTTTTACCAAGCATATCACAATATTGATTATCCTTGTGTTAACCCATTGTTGCCAGGATGGCAAGAATACATGCCACTTCCACTGCATCTTTTTGTTTATTGATTGTCTTACACATAGATAGCTCCACAAGTACTTAATCACCAAGGAGTCAATTAGTAGTTCTATGTAACTCACCTGTTTACCCTTTTCCTCAATAATAGCATTAGAAAAAAATACATTTTCCCAAAAACTCAAGAAAAAGGGAAACCAGCTGAGGACACATAGGTTTATCAATTGGCTCCTTGATGGCTGAGCACCTGTGCAGCCATCGAGGTGCAAACGGAATTCACAAAAGAAAAGGACAACAGACAATGTGATTAAGGGGCTCCATTGGGTTAATATGATTCTGCATTTTCCTGACAATTACATATGTATTACTACAAGATAAAATCAATGCTCCAAAGAGTATTTCATTCTATCCCTCAGAAAAGTCCATACTTCTTTACCTCAGACCTAAACAAACTAGTAGAATGCTTCATGTATATAAATGGAATACAAAGACATAAATTTGAATAATTTACTCATTGTAGCTCTGAAATCCAATAACTTAGTATGGTACATGATATATGGCATATAAAGACTAATCAGAAATCATCAAATTAGTGAGAAATATCAAAGAAGACCTTAAAATGCAAGAAAATACAGTTTATGATTAACAGATATGTATTTTGTTACAGTTAGAAAACCCTTAAAGCAAAAATTATGTTATCTACTTCTAATAACATTGGATTTCTTGTGCCTCAGTTCATCATATTGCTAAGAAATTACAAATATAATTTTACTGGAAAAAGAATTTTAAAAGACAGTTACAAGCAAAATTATACATTTCAAGTAATCACTACTGTTACTTTTTTTGTCATGGACAATACTGTCTTTACCAGGAACACTGATATTGTGCTTTTAGAAGAAAGAACACTTGCAGCAACAAATTAAATATTTTTCTATAATTTGCTTCTAACTGACTTGTCTAAGGTAAACCATTATGCAATCCTAAATTTTCATGCAATATATACTATCTCAAAATGGGACATACTTTCAGAAAAATATCTTCACCTTTGGTAAAAGCCATTCAGTGCCCATCTATTACAAGTCTTGCAAGTTTTCTTGGCACCAACATGTATGCACCAGTATTGCTAGGTTACAATATTTACAATTCACTCCTTTTCTTTGGAATAAGATATATGTCTTATTCAGATGGATACCCAATAGTTCTCAGAGACTGGACAGTTATATTCTGGGTGAGGCAGCCAAAAGTCATGAAAAGAGTGTACAATATCCATCTGATCAAGAGAATTTTCCTTGACTAATTCAGAATCTCCTCTCATCTATACCTACATTTCTTGGAATAACTTGTATTTACAGTATACAAATGGTAGAACATAATTATAAAATACGTACATCTCACAAACATACATAAGTGAAAAAATTACCGGTACTGTTTTCTTGCCCTTACGTATTTCCATTGCTTAGGAGACGAAGATTTCTTGCAAAATTCACAACAGAACCTTTAGGAGTAAAACTTGCCGTGCAGGAAACTTATCCTGGGAAGAGGAAAATCTGCTTTCCTCTTAAAATCAGCAGCAACTCCAATTCTGCTTCCATTCTTTTCCAATTTTGGGATGTCCTTTTCC